GCACTTGACGACCTGATGGCCAAGTGCGCGCTGGACCTGCAGCAGGCATATCTGGCCTCACGCGAGTGGGGCGTCAGCACAGTCTTGATCATGCGGGGTCGGGACAAGTTGCGTCGCTTGAGCGACACGACCTTTGCCATTGCGGTCGTGTCCATGATGGGTTTTGGCCTCCATGAACTCATCAACGTCAAGCCGACGGACAAGTGCCCGCTCTGCAGCAGCAAGACACCTCAGCCGCGACTAACCCGCGAGCACCTGCTGACCTGCCGTCCCATCAAGCGACACAACGCCCTTCGCGACGAGATGGGCCGCCTGCTCAGGTACGCCACCCTCTCCCATGTCTGGGTGGAAAAGTCTGGCTACAACGCCAACGGTCAGAGCTGCCGCATCGACCTGCACTGCCGCAACCCCTTTCCCGGCGGTGCACTGGGCCCAGCTCTGCCCGACCTGGGCATTGACGTGACTGTGCGCACAGCCCAACCCCCGACCACCTCGCAAGCCTGCATCAAGGTGGGCGCTGCCCTTCGCCGAGCCGAAAAGGAGAAGCGCGACTACTACACCGGTTTCAACCATGGAAAAACTCTGATCGTCCCTGCGGCGATGACGACGTAAATTAGGTGTTTGAACCTCAGAGCTGAAAGCAAAGCTGTGCAACCCCGACATCAAAATCACGACGGCACGCAAATCAACACAAGAGAACAAGACATTTTCATCGGCTTCTATCATGCCGAAAAGTACAAGCGCGAAGAATCACGCACAAGGAAACAAAAATCATGAAAAACGACTAAGTATAACTAGAGATACGGCCATTTTAACCACTAGACACATAAAAAGGCAGTCACACATCACAACTACTGTTAGCGTCAAATCCGTGCTTCCACGCATTTGAACACTCCCACTGCTTTCGCACACACTCAGCATCGGTCGCTATGGGTCTTCCTATTGGTATTCCATAGCTACGACGACCTCACACATTGACACCTACTTTTGGACCCCCTGGGCTTGATCCTCCTCGTGGCAGTCACATGAGTAAACACCGCGTGTGACGCGGTCCCCACGATGCCTGGGCAGCTGCCCTGGGGCAATAAGCTTGTGGCTACTGTTGTTTCCCTTTGTTGTGACACCTGCGGTCGGGCACGAGTTGCACTTTCCCTATCCTCGGGATTGAGCGACTCTACAGCTATTCTAACGGTGCACCTGGTCTGGTCACTGTGAATGCTTGCCGACCGCAGCTGGTTCAATTGACCTCAAGACACCACCAAAGCTTTCGCTCCGCTCCGACGGACGTCTCTCAAACCTCTCTCAAAACGCTTCCTCAAACCTACGCGCTTCCTCGCAACCCAAAGACGGCCTCCAGACGTGCTGGAGCCTGACATGGTAGCGATTGAAAACTTCGATCGACCGACCGCCCTTCTTCAATCTTTGCGCTGGATAGCATGTCCTCGCGCACCCGTTCGCGAAC